AGGGGCCAGCCCTGGCCAGGGCTGGCAGGTCACACCCTCTGGCCTCAGATCCCTTATCTATCTACAGAATGAGGTTGTCCTCAACGACAGCAAAGGTTAAGCTCTGACATTCCATGGCTCCCAGAGATCCAGCTAGGTCAGGAGGTCCAGCTCTGCCCCTCCATCTGCCACGGTGACAAGGTCACTCTTGGGCTGGGAGTTCAGGCCAAGGCAACCCTCTGTGCAGTGTGAGCAGCACTGAGCCCAGCTCCGGTCTGCAGCCGAAACACCTGCTCTTCTGCCCCTGCTCCCCACACTCCTAGCCCAGCCCAGCCCAGCCCAGCCCAGCTCACCCAGAGACCCAGGTTGGACCAAGGCACTGCCCCTTCCAAGCCAGCCCGCTCCCCTGGGGCTCCAGAAGCCAACCCCACCTCCTCCCCACCACCACCACCAGTTGTGCTAGTCTCAGCAAAGAGCTCTTCCACCCCAGTGAGGTACCTTCCCGTCTGGAAAACACAGTGCCACCTGCCTCTGGAGTCCCCAAGGGCAGGCTGAGCTTCTGCGCCAGGCAAGTACCCACCACCCAGCCTGGGCCCCGGCGAATTCCTCCTGTTCCAGGGACCTGCCCTCTGGACACCAGAACCCTAAGGGACACACTGTGTCTCTCAGCCACGCGCTATGTGCTCAGAGCTCACACGGCCTCACACACATTCCCAGGACACTTGCTCAGTCTCACAGACCCCACCTTGGCTGTGCACACTGAGTCGCACAAAATCCCCAGGTAAACACACCCTGTCTCTCACACGCGCTTATTCTCACCCACACAACACCCATCGTAGTTACACACTCATTCAGGCACAGATATCCTTCCACTCAGTCCCTGGAGAGACTCTGAAATCAAAGTCGGCCTCCATAGAGAAATAATTGAATGATTTTTCCTCCCTCGCTAAACACCTACCCACACGGCCATACTACACACACGCTCACACACGCACCCGTGTGTATCTTACTCCCCTTCTGAAGGAAAATGGAAGAACTGTATAGGGTCAAATGCAAAATAGGGGGAGGCTTAAAAAAAAAAAAAATCTCAGGAAGAATGATTCATCGGTCTGGAAACTGTGACGGCCAGCTGGACAGACCCAGACAGACACGGAGGATGCCCGCCAGTGAGAAATAGGGCAGGAGGCAGGCACAAAGAAGTGAGGAGCTAGGAGCCTTTGCTTTTTCTCTCCCTCCTTTGAGCTTTATTAGTCAAGACCTTTATCTTACAACAGAGGACAGTTGGAAGCTTCACTCCCATTTTACAGAAGGAATAACTGATAACTGGATGGGAGAGGAAGAGGCTCTGTGTCCGGGATCCCAGAGGGAGATAGCTGGATAGCCCAGGAATCCCAGACCCCAGTCACGTGGCAGGGAGCGCCCCCTGCTGGCCATCATGCAAGCCTCTACCCATCAATGAGGGGCTTAGGGAGGGAAAGGGACGTGGAGACAGGGCTGGCAGCAGAGGCTGGGAGCGGATGGGGACCTACTGTCTAGACAGCCTGGGCCCTGAGCTGTGTGGCTTTCTGGGTCCTCCCCTAGTTAGTCCCCTCCCGGATCTTTCATGTGGTCTGGCACTGTGGTCCCAGGGTGGGGCAGCCTAGACCCAGATCGAGATTCCTCCTTATTTCCTTGGTCGCATTCCCAGCCCCGCCTCTTGCTCTGTAGAGAAGAGGGCAACGTGAGATGGGCCAGAACACCCGGGTATGGAGGTGGAATCAGGCTCTTGCTCGGCTCCCTCACTTCATGCTCCCGTGTCCACAGCTTTAGCAAAAGGCCGGCATGTGCTCTCTGTGGGCCCCCC